CCTTTGTTGGCCTAAGTTCTAAATAACTTGTGAAATTAATGTGGAGTTTTTATGCATACATACACACGTATAATAGGCTTTAAATTAGCACACTTATATATTACTTGTTCATTGTATTACTAATCCTTTAATAACACATGTGGACTCAGCATATATTGACTTCTAGAGTAAGTTCTTAACAGTTTGGAATTATTTGAGCTGCAGTATCCATGGTGCTGCCTCTTCTCGAGATTAATCAGTAGAGTCAGAAATGAGCAACGATGGCACAGTAATTATAAAGATGAAAAAACAGAACTCGAGTTACTTTAATTCTGTCATTCTTTGCTACTACTTTGGGGATTTTCGTGTTTAAAATTTAAAGCAGTGAAACAGAATGCTAATGATTACTCAACATAATTTTGTCCAATAAAGAAAGTGGGGTCTTAAAAATGATACACTCACTTGTCAAAAATCTAGAAGGCATGCTGCTGCTGTAGGACAATGCCTTTCACCAGCATCGCTTAAGCTGAAATATTCGTGGAATGGAAATGGAAGCTGTCAAAATTTTCAGCAATTTTGCTAACATCAAATAATGGTGAATACCATTCTGAACTTGGTTAACATTTTTAAATTGTATATGTTGACAGATTGTTTTGTATATTTATTTCTGTGTTTGCTTTAGATTTTAAGTGTCCAGATTTGTTTATATTGTAAATCTTTTGCTTGTCAAAAATAATGCCATGGAAGTTAATAAAGTGAAAAAAGGAGCATTAAAAAAAGGAAAGAAAACAAAACATTGTGTCTAGGGAGTTGAGATATAATTCTTAAGGAACCTCCCTCCCGGTTAAATCAAAGAAGTAAGTTGATTAAGTTGAGGTTGACAGTTTTTTAAAAAGTAACCTACCTCCAATTACTGTCCCGTTGACTCCTCCAGCCATTGCTAATTTCTCTGTGTTCCTTCCCAAAACACCAAACTGCTTTTAATGGCTCACCAGTCTTTCAAAACAAGTTGATTACATCAAGAGTGAGTTTGTTTAAATTACAGTATTAGCTAACAATGTATTTATAACCCATTAATATTCTTTTTCAAAGGTGAGAATTTTTTAAAGTGGAAAGAGTAGTAAAAGTAACTTCTGATGCACCTTTCCTGCTCCACATAAACTCGTTACTGCACCTTTGTGGGGAAGCATCCTAAATATTCATCAGTAGAGCACATACAAATTATGGTGCATCTGGCAATTTGGAATAGTATGCAGCCACTAAAAAGTGTGGCTGTTCATTTTTTGAGTGGCTGGGTTTTTTTAATGCTGATATTCTGTATCAGTACTATATGAGTTCTAAAATGTATTTTTTAAAGCAAGGTTTAGAAGAGTGCTACTATTTGTGCAAAAAAAGTGTGACTAAATTTATGGCTAACATAATACTGGACAAATGCAATTAAAAGTAAACAGGAATATATATAAATATTTAAATGCTAAATATCTCTCAAAGGACACTTGAGAAACAGATAACACTGGTCACCCTCTGAGGAGATTGGTAAGTTAAGGGGTACAAATAAAATGTATACCCTTTTACTAGTTTGGTTTCTTTACTTACTACATGCATGTTTTTACATTTTTTAAAATGCTAAAACTTGTTGGCAAAAGCTATATCATATAGTTATCCCTTGGTATCCTAGGAGGATTGGTTCCAGCAACCTCCACAAATACCAGAGTCTGTGGTACTTAAGTTCCTTATATAAAATGGTGTAATAGTTGCATATAACCTACATGCACCCTCCCATATACTTTAAATCAGGGGTCCCTAACCCCCCAGGCTACGGGGTCTGTGGCCTGTTAGGAGCCAGGCCACATAGCAGGAGGTGAGTGGCAAGCAAGCTAGCAAAGCTTCATCTGTATTTGCAGCTGCTCCCCAGCACTAGCATCACGTCCTCAGCTCCACTTCAGATTATCGGGCATTAGATCTCATAGGTGCCAAATAGGTTGGGGACCACTGCTTTAAATCATCTCTAGATTACTTATAATACCTAATACAATATAAATGCTATGTAAATAGTTGTTATACTGTATTGTTTAGGGAATAATGTCAGGAGAAAAAGTCTTTACACGTTCAGTGCAGACACCATTGTACGCTTCACTAGGTAGTACAATATTTTCTGTCCAAGGTTGGTTGAATCCGCGGAGGCCGAGGGCTGGTTGTAGTAAGAGCATAAATCCCACAAAGAAGAAAGTTACTGACAATCCCAGTGTCGCAAAACACCTAAGGCTTCTCAGAGCCCTGGGTTCTCAGCTGGTGGTGGAACAAGGCAGTGCAGGCCCTTTTTCAGTGACCCATGGAAAGCTGGGTGGTAATTCCAGTGTCAGAGTTCCTCTGTGCCTCAAGGATGTTGGTATCTTTCTCCCCTGAAGGCTGGAGTTCAGGTAGACCCCAGGGACTCTTCAGCCTTGGGTAACTCTGATAGAGATCTCAGGGAACAACGTCCATTGATTCCCACTAAGCTTCTCTTTCATGGAGCCAAATGTCAAACCTTTGAATGTTTAAAAAAAAAAAAAAAACCACACCTGGGTATTTTTATTTATTTATGATTTGCATTCCATATATGTAATTCCAAAAAGCTTAAATGTGAGGGGGTGTTACTAAATTTATGGATAACATAAAACCGGACAAGTACAAGTAAAAGCAGACTGGAATCCAATAAAAGAAGCTGCACACTGGTTGTTAGTAGCGATTAGAAGTACCTGGGATAAGTTAATTACTGTAGTTGAGCACTGAATTTAGCTTTGAATTTCTTGGCACATAAGGTGAAAGGGGGAATAAAGTATATAGTTCTTTTTATATGAAGCCAGAGAATATGAAGTTTTGCCTAAGGAAATGGACATTTTCCCAATACTCAACTCAAGAAGAAAATTCAAATTGTATATATAAAAATGTTATCGAATGACTCAGGTCTTCATGGTGGTTAGTGCCTATCAAGGTATTGAAATTAGTGAGTCAAAATGTGTCAGACTTCACAAAATATAATCTTTTTACTTTTTACTTATCAGATCTGTCTCTGTTATGACAGCCACCCCTGAAGTCCAAACAACCTCTCTGATTTGGACAGCTGTAGTGGCCTCTTAATATATCTCTACATGCACTCTTACTTTTCCAAAGTCTTCTCCGGGCTGTGGTTAGCCAGGACTGCCTTTTTAAAACGCAGTTCTGATCATATCCCATCACTGTCACCATCCCATATGTTTACAACTCCTACATCCCTCTGGTTTTAGGATATATGACCAAACCCTCCCACCTCCCCAGCCTCTCCTCCCACCCCCTCTCCCTTGCTCTCTCTCTTACAGCCTTTTTTAGACCTATTTCTGGCTGTATGCCCTTTGAACACCTCCTCTCTCTCGTGGCATGCTCCACCTGCCTTAAGCCAGCAATTCTTCCTTGGATTTGAGCTGCATTATCCTCCGAAGCCTCCTTGACCCTGAGAGCCCCCTTCTCACTGTTGTTCATTCTCATGCCCCTCTGAGCCTCTCTCAGGAGTGCTTATCTCTCTTATGATGGCCTCCCTACTAAATTGTAAGCCCCCTGATAGCAGGGACCAGCTCAACTCATGCTCAATCTTTGATCCCCAGCTCTATACCCAGTGCAGTAGGGGGTCAGGAAATATTCAGAGGAAGGGAGCCATCAATCAGCAACTTAGATGCCAAAGCCTCCCCCTCCAGTGGGCTTTATACCATGCTGAGACGTTTATCTCTGGAGCACAGTTCTGATCATACTACTTCCTTGTGCCAAAACTTAAGGGGTCTCCATTTCCTACAGAATACCATCCTTACTTCTTACTTAGCCCTCCACAACCTGGGTCCTAGTTTCATTTCCAAATGCACTTCTCCCAGTCTCAATCCTTGCACTGTAGCAAGAATGAAGCTCTCTAGCCTTCTGACCACACTATTCCTTCTGCCCTTCTCTGCATGTTTAATTCTTAACCATCCCTTAAATAACACCCCTAATCAAAAGTAATGCCTCCCATTGTCTCAACTTGAGTATCTTTGACATGATACTTATTTTCTAACTTATAGCTTCCATATAACTTATTTTATCTCCCATATTAGGTGGTGGTCTGGTTCTATATAGTGTCTGTTATGACTCCTCACATAGTAGGTACTCATAAAAATGTGTCACATGAGTGATGATTTGTGTTATTTAGCATCTTTATAAGGCAGTCTTTAATAAGAATCATTTCCCCTCCAGATGCTGTAATTTGTAGTGAAGTTTCTGTTTTTATGTATATAAAACAAATGGCCGGTCAGCTACAGATTTTCCTATTCTTTTGAATATATCTAAAGATCGGTGAATATGAATTCAATTCATACACAGTTGACCCTTGAACAACAGAGGTTTTCATTGTGCGAGTCCACTTATACATGGATTTTTTTTTCAATAAACATTGTAAATGTATTTTCCTTATGATATTCTTAACATTTTCTTTAACTTTATTGTAAGAATATACTAATACACATAACATACAAATATGTGTGAATCGACTTTATCTTATCAGTAGGGTTTCTGATCAACAGTGGGTATTAGTTAAGTTTCGGGGGAATCAAAAGTTTTACATGGATTTTCGACTCTGTGGGTGATCAGAGCCCCTGATTCCTGTGTTGTTCAAGGGTCCATGGTACTGCTTTCTGCACATTTTCAAAGACATCATAGATCTTTTATTACAAAAGATTATTCTGTAACATTATTCTGATACTGAATGGAAGAAAGTGAAACAAAACAGATTCACGTAGCGTGTCATTTCAAGAGAAGACAGCTCAAAAAGACTGCAGTCTCTTAAAAAAAAACAAATGAACAATGATCAGTGGGCCATACATAGGACTTGTTTCTAGATGAGTGTCAGTCACCTCACCATCTCCCCAGCCACGCCTGCCCTTCACTCAACCTGAATGGCGGTCTGCCCCTGTCAGCTACTGCTCGTTGCCATGACTCCTGCGATGAGAGCATAACACTCACGTCCATTTCCTTTCCAACAGGCCGATTTAAACTGCAATATTCAAGATGATGCCGGGGCTTTTTACGGTGTAACCAGTCAGTATGAGAGTTCTGAAAACATGACAGTCACCTGTTCCACCAAAGTTTGCTCCTTTGGGAAGCAAGTAGTAGAAAAAGTAGAGGTAAGTTGGCCTCTGGACACCGGAAGCTTCATTCAAGGCCAGATGCAAGGCCATCCTTCAAGCCTTTATTGGGACAAAGAATTTTTCTTATTTTTTTTTTTTTTTTGGTGTCTCCTCCTTCCCATCCTCCTTTCCCCCACTTTTTCCCCTGTTACTTCTAAAAAGGCAAAATGATTTGAAAGCAACTGAAAGAAGGCAAGGAGGAAATCCCAAGCCCGCCCCATCCGTCCTGCCCTGCTTGCTGACAGCAGTGTTCAGTCCCACACGAGGCCTCCTACAGGAGCCCTGGTGTCGAAGCTGCCGCCCATCAAATGATGCTTTCCCACTGACCCCCAGGTCCAGGGGCACTCACAGGCACTGTAGAGAACAGCCAGGAAGCAGGGGTGGGGGGCAGGGTGTAGTCAGCTGGTAGGCAACAGCCTTCTAAAGCCCTGATTCCTGGAGACTGGCATTATTGCTTTGCCATTTCCACCCCCTTTATTATAATTGTCTTAAGTCTATTGCAGTACATACCGGGATCAAATGCCTATTTATGGCTTTGTTATTTCATGCCTCCCTCCCTTTCAAAAACCTTATGGTCATTTTACCAGAGTGGGTTACTTTGTAGGAATGATGTTTGCAACTGACATTCCCTTTAAAAATTGTATTTCCCAATGATTTTTGTCCATCATCCCATCAGTCCATGTTCAGTGAGAAGCTTGTATTCACAGCAGTCCTGGACCTGCAAGGTCCAGCCTGACTGTGACAAAGACTTTGTGCTGAGATGTGAGAAAGAAGATGCAGAAGGGAGAGAGGGGCTGTTTTTTCAGACCCTTGGGTGAACAGTGAGGATTTGGGTGGTGTTACAGACCCTCAGTTTCCTGAGTACAGGATGGGCATCCTGAGAATGTTGTTAAGGAAGGTTATGCTGTCAGAAGAGGATGGAGGTGAGTTGACTAGATGGTCAATTTGAGCTTTACTGAAATGTGGGAATCCGGTAAGACATTTTGAATAGAAGTTGGAAACTGACTGGATATTTAAGATTAAAGAGAAGGAAGAGTCAAAGATCACATTTTATGCTTGGAAGGACAGTGCTGTCACCAGCAGAGATAAGGAAATAAAGTGTTCAAGAGGAAATAAGGGACAATTATAGATGCAAGAATTTGGGAGACAGGTTAAGACTGAAAATAATAATTGAGAATCCTAAGCATTAAGGATAATTAAAGCTATGGGAATAGAGAGGAAATAGCAAGAGCATAGAAATAAGCGTTCAATTTGGAGAGCTGCATTCAGCCCTGGAGTGAGTGGAAGACAGGTATGTGTGAGAAAAGAGGAAGCAGACAAGTTACTCAGTTCCCTAGATTTGAAATTATCCTTCACTGTGTCCTCAGATATTAGTTTGGGGAGCAATGAAAGGTTGCTTTAGACTGACGAGATCCCAGGAATTTTCGTGGAGAAGTGGGTGTGAATGTGGCAGGCAAAATTTTATAATTAAGCCTTTAATCCATTTAGAATGTGTTTCTGCATATGATACGAAAGGAGAGTCTGTTTATATTTTCTTCCAAATAGACATTTGTGTGAAACCATTTATTAAATGATTTACCCTTTTCCAGCAGAATGTGTCTTTCCCCTTGAGGTTACCACGTATACTGGGGACTGGTCTTTGTGTGTATCTGTTCTCTCTACTCTCCATCTCTATATGTCCCAATGCCATGTTGATTTAATTACAGTGGCTTTATAGAACGTTCAGTGTGTGCTGAGGATGGAAGTCAATCTCACTAATCTTTTGTATATATTTTCTAAGCTAGTAACCAGCATTTATTCCAAATAATGAGGTTATTTTTAAAATGTAAAGAAAAACATATATCTTGTTTGAGAAATCTAGTTATATTTAGATTTTAGATATTATTTTGGGATAAATCAATATATTATTGATATTAAATCTTTTCAATCAAGAACCTGTTTGCATTTCCAGCTCATCAGTTTTATGTAAGATTTTATAGTCTTCTTATATAGGTTTATCCCTTTCTGGTTAAATATATTTCTAAATATATAATTCGTTAGTGCAATTTCCCATTTCTAGATTTTAATTACTAAATTAGAGAAAAGCTCTTGGTTTTTGTGTATCTATGTTCTTTTTAGCCATCTTGCCATATTCTCTTATTTATCTCAAGTGATTTTCCCCCTAGCTTCTTTAGGCTTTTTATGTATATAATCTTATCTCTTCTTTTCCAATGTTTATGCCAGTTTTTAAAAATTATTATTCTCTCATCTTTTCATTTGCTAAAATCTCCAATACAGTTGTAAAAAAAAAATAGCAATATATAAATAATATTCTTATATCATTTCTGATGTTAGTGTAAATGGTTTTGCTGTTTTGCCATTTAAGATTATATTTAATATTGTTGGTTTTTGTAAATGATCTTTATATTTTAAGTGCTTTTTTTCTATACTTATTTTACTTGGGGTTTTTATTATTAATAGCTGCAATATTTTAACAAATGCCTTTTCAGCAACTCCTACGACATGATTTTTCTCTAATTTCTCCTATTTGTTGACTTGACAAGTTAATACATGTCCTGTGTGTGTAACACCACAGCATTCCTAAAGAAAGTCCTACTTTGGTTACATTGATTCATTGTTTGCTAATTTATATAGAATTTTTGCATCTCATTAGTCTATACTTTTTTATAATCTCTTTATCAAATTTCAGTATTGAATGTACATCAATCTCAGAAAAATAATTGGGACTCCTGCCTATTCTGTGGTCTGGCATAGTTTGAATGAAAATGAAAATGATTGTTCTTTTAAGGTTACATAAAACTTAGCTGTGAAACCATTTGGTCTTTGTACCTTTTTCACCAGTAGGTCTCCAAACAACTTCCTACTCATTTCCACAGTAACTGACCAAATTTCTTTTTGGTTGAGTATTAGCAATTTGAATTTTGCTGGGAAAGCATCCTATCCTCTAGGTTTTGTCTCTTCTTTTTTCTTCTTCTTAAGCTTGTAAATGGTTTATTTTATATTTTTAAAGAACCGGTTTTTATATTTATTCTGTCTACATTTTTAATTTCTATTACATTGATTTGAGCTTTTATCTTTATTAATGTCCTATTCCCGATTTCTTTAGATTTCTTTATGTTTTTGGTTTATTTTGTGGGGTTTAAAATTATCTTTAAAGATATGTATTTAGTTGTGTAATTTCTCGTGATGTTTAATAATGAAGACTTGAAGCTGCTTCATTAGGTTTTCTCCACATACAGCTTTGTTGGATCCCATAAGTTTTCATGTGTTTACCTTTTCATTACTCTTTAGATAGTTCGTAATTTCCTTTTTAATTCCTTTTGATCCAGGGTTATCCAGGAATGTGTTTCTTATTTCTGAGTGCTTCAGTGGGATCTTCAAACTGCATATATACCAGTGTTTACTTTCTTTCTTAATGGCATAAATAACTAACAGTCAGGGGTTCGTGGTGAGTGTAAAGTAGTTTTTGTTTGTTTATTTGTTTGTTTTTTAATTAGAGAAATTATCTGTATTGGCTGTTAGCCTGTGAGGTCTTATCACAGTAAAGGAGGATTTTCTTAGGGCCTTTTCAAGAGTTATACCTGGCCGGCCTGCTTTCACAGATCTCCAGGTAGAGCATCACTAAGTAGATGGTTATATTTTTTTCTGACCTTTGCTGAAAAGGATCTATGCAATTCTTCTTTAACGCTATCATTTTTCTACTTTTTAAAAAGATTTCCAGAAAAATAATGGATTCTGAGTATGGCACTAAGCTTGCAGATAGGATTTTTTTTTTTTTTTTTTAAGTAAACTGCCTAAATTGTACAGTATATAGCAGACATTTCATGTTGAAAACTAAAATGCTTTTATAGGCGGTAATGTCTTTTTCATGTATTTTGAAGTCGAAGTGTAAAAATGCTCAACTCCTTTTTTCCTCACAGACGGAGTATGCAAGGTTTGAGAATGGCCGATTTGTATACCGAATAAACCGCTCCCCAATGTGTGAATATATGATCAACTTCATCCACAAGCTCAAACACTTGCCAGAGAAATATATGATGAATAGTGTTTTGGAAAACTTCACAATTTTATTGGTAACTATTTTGTCTCTTCTCTGTTTTGACAGACTCAGCTATGAGGCTGGTGGGGAAAGACAGAAAGATAGGCCTGTGAGGGGCCTGGGCCAAGTGAACTGACCAGGCTGTTGGGTTAGACTCAGGTGGCCAATCAGCAGTTGAATTCACACATCCATAGGGCAAACCCGGGGTTGGTTTGGGCTCAAGTCTGTAGAAGAGAAAAGGTTTCATCTGGCTGGGGTTTCTAAGCTTGGCAGAACTGGAATTCAGGCGGATAATAAAGGGTAATAAGTGATTTTCCTAGCTTCTCAATTCTGGTTATACATTAGAAAGACCTTGACGTCTAAAATTCACCATACCAAGACTGCAGCCTTTATCAATTAAATCAAGATCTCGGAGGATAGGACCCAGGCATGAGTATTTTGTTTAAGTTCCCTAGATAATCCCAGTGTTAGCCAAGTTTGAGTCTTAGCAGCAACATATTACGCAAATCATAAATGAGACAAAAGCCACGTCAGTAGGTTTGCACTTCAGACATACCTGGACTCGTTGCATGAAGGATTTGCACGGTCTTATAAGAAGTATGTACATTAAGATAGAAAAATGTAAGCTCTCAGTACCAGAAGAAATATAAATTAGGATAGAATGTCATGACCAGGAAGGGTTGGAAAAATTATCCTGAGGCCGAAAAGTATGGTCGAACTTAATGGGCAGTTCACGGGAAAGGAAAAAACAAAGGTGCTCAGAGTCCATGATGGGAAAACTAGACAGGGCAGCATGTGTGTGCTGGGAAAGGGGAGGTGTTTCTTAATATTTGACTTTAAAACACATTTCTCATGGAGGCTTCATTTGGGGATTTGAGAAGGTTATTAAGAATAATGTCCTCAGAATATACCTACGAAATATACAGTAATGGGTTTTAAAGGCTCATTTAAAAAAATAAATAAAAGAAAAATGCCAGAAGAAAACTTGGTGGAACCAGTTTTGCTAAAAGGGGCGACAAGATAATATTGTGGTCGAATAATCAGACCTCTAGAGGCCTGCTTTGTTATGAGCATTAAGAACTAGAATACTTAGAGCAGGAATTCTCAATCTGGAGTTTTGGGTTCCACTCACATCACGGTTCTCAATCACTGATGTGCTGGTAAAAAAAAAAAAGGCTCTACCTCGACCGCCCCCCGCCCCCCAGAAAACTTGATTTGTACCTTTTGCTCATTTCTGTGGTATAAATGCCCCTCCATGAGCAATTTCAAGCTACCAGTGTTTGCTCAGCTCATGAAATTCCTTAATATTTGACAATAACTTTCAAGAGCCAGTGGGAGCCAGTTCCCTGACACCAATGTAAAAATGAATATTTAAAAATTTTAAATTAAAAAATTTTTAACTTAAAATCCTCTGCACATTAGGATTCATCCAGAAAGCTTTTAAAAATTCTAAGGCCTGGGCATACCTCAAATGAATAAAATCAGAATCCTGGGGTAGTTCTCCTGCACAAAGGGGTTGAGATTTCTGCTCTAGGGGATTGATAAATGAGCTGGTTTTCATTTACTGCAGGTAGAGAATGTCAGTGGATTCTCAAGTGTGTTCAGGTCCCTCCAAAATTTAGGAGCTAGCAATCTGGGGGAAAATTTGGAAAACATGTTCTTTAGTAATTATTATTTATTAGTACCCTTTTCTCTAATGGTCTTTAGTGAAAATTGGGCAGTTCATGGTTTGGCGTGCTGGTAAGTCCTTGTCATATAGGTACTCTCTATTTAAGAACAGATCACCTTATTGCTCAGATGAGCAGAAGGGGAGTGTAGCATCCTGGCGTAGACATTAAATAGCCTCAGGAATTAACCAGAACTCTAAGTGGATGTCCACCCTACTTCTCTTGGGAGGATTTTAAGGAATATGTCCTCGGTCCCTAAAACCCTACCTTACAGAGCATAGCCAAAGAAAATAAGGCCTAGAAAAATTTTAAATCATCTATTACCCATAAACCTCATATAATTCTATCAGTAATGCTCCCTTTGGGAGATGCGGCTTCAAGCAGTATAGATGTCCAGATAACATACCATGTTAAAGTAATTCCAAAATGTTTCATTAAGCACCTAAATAAATTCCTTTGATATGAAGAATTAGTAGCTCTATAAATATTTGCTTGAAACAGTATTTTACATTTAGAAAAGCCGAGTTTAAGCCAGCATTCCTGGATTATGGGAATAAAATCATCTCACTGGTAATAAGAGAAAGAGTACTTTTTGACTCTTCCGCAGGGTGGGGTATAGAAACATGGCCAGGATGGAAGCTGCTGGACACAGTTGTAGGTGTTTTACTAAGTAGATTGCCTACAAAGCCTGTGTCAACAAGACCATTCCAGACCTTACTAGCTGGTGGGCTAGACTAGCCACTGGAATGCAATGCAAATAAACACAGTGACCATCTCTGAGTAAATCTTAGCCTGGTAGGACTGAAGAGTCAAATAAATGATTGCAATACAAGGTAACAGTGGCCATAGTATACTTGTGAAACAGGTACCATGGAAGGTCAGAGTGGTTTAACTACCTGAGCAAGTACTTGTACTTGGAATGGGTACGGAGTTCTCAGGGATATTAAAAGGTAATGTTTAAGTTGCCTTGATAGCTAAACAGACACTTTTCAGATTTGCTAAAAATAGGGCCATTCCATGGGTATATACTTAAGTGTCAGGTGCAGGGATGCTGTGAACTAGACAGGCAGAGCGGCCTCCCTGGAGTCCGGTGAGGGAGGCAGGCATTCCTCGAGCAATCACAAAATGAATGTAAACTAAACTGTGACTGATAGCTGCAGAGATAGGTACATGGTGCCAAGAGAGCATATAATGAGAGGATTTGACCTCGTTCGGGAAGTCAGGGAAGGCTTCCCTGAGGAAGAATCAATTGAGAGATACCTGCCAGAAGAATAGGTAAAGAGGGTAGGGAAGGATACTGCAGGTAGGCAGGCAGGTGGCAAGTAGAAGGACTGAAAATAGGGTCATGTGGCTGGCTTCGAGAGAGGGAGGAGAGCAAGGAACAGTGAGTTGGCTGGCGAGGAACAGCCAGACTAGGCAGAGTGTCCTTGGTCTTGTAAGATAAGTATAGGTTTTCTTTTCCTCCAAAAAATTTAAAGTTCAAAAGAGGCCAACAGGGTTTTTAAGCCAAGAGTATGTTGTTGTCACACTTAAATTTCTTAAATGGTTTTTGTGGCTACTGTGTGCAAATAGGACTGGTGACAAGCAAGGGTGGCTCCTGGTGGCGGAGTCTGGGTGATGTTTGTGGTACCTGAGTAGTGGAAAAGGGGATGGATTCAAGAACTATTCAGGAGGGAAAAGCGGCAGGACATGGCATTCATCTGGATGTGAGGATGAGGGAGAGAGATTCCAAAGATGAAAGACCCGTAAGTTGGAGTACTTGGTCTGTGAAAGAAGTGGCAGGAAGTAACACTAGAAAAGCATGTGAGTACCAGTATTGAAACAAATCTTTATTGCCCGGGGTGGTGGGGAGGGGAATGTAGATAATTCATCACTGTATCAATTCATTTGTCTAGAGCAGCATGACATAATGGTTAACAAAAAGGTCTTCAGAATCAGAAGATCTGGGTTTCTTTGTTGACAGTTGTATAACCTTAAACAAATTAACCGCCCTAGCCTCCTTCTCTGTCAGAGGGGGATTGATATAGCATCTGCACACAGAATTGTCATGATAGTATATGAGACAGTGTGTGTAAAATATTTAATACTGAGTAAATGCATAAACAGTCAATGTATGTTGGCTAGTATGTGACTAGTATCTGCTAGTATCTGCTGAATTTTCTGTATTGGCTAGTATCTGCTGAATTTTCATTCAGCAGATATTTATTCAGTGACTGTTGTGTGCCAGACACTAAGCTAATAACTAGGAAATGTGGTCCCTGTTCTTCAGGAATTTATAGTCCACTGAATGAGATGGGCATTTAAAGAAAATCGTACAAATCTATATGTACTTTCAGATGGTACAGACTGCTATGATGGGAAAATTTACAAGTACTTTGAGACTTTATTCTTTATCCAGAGACCATAAACTTGGATGCCTTAAGGGTAAGGGAAACTAAATGGGCAAAGCATCCTGACTCATGAGGGGATTGAGGCCCCCATTGACTGGACTAGGCTCTCAAATTCAAAATGTAAGGCATGACCCATTTGACATGATTCTACCACTGGTTCTTTACTCAGCAAGTATTTTACTGATTGAGGCACTGCTGGTTAATAGTGGTGAGCAAAGCTCTCATGGAGCTATGTGTATCATTGGCTACTGTGAAACAAACTTAAGAAAAGTTTAGAAATAAGGTAGGAGACAATTCCTAGGATGACAGTCCCATGGGACAGAATTATAGAAAATTGGCTTTGTTGTAAAGAAATCAGCCTCCCCAAAAACCCACACTAGTTCTTCTGTGGCTCAGATTATGGGTGAGACCTTGTCTATAAGGTCTTTCTTACATATGGTATTTCAGCTTAGATAGGTTTCAAGTCAAACCCCTCCCTGATAGCCTGAATTCGTGCCAGAGTGGGCAGAGTGAGGCCAGACAGCACCCTAATAATCCACTTGTTGGGCTTTATTTTCCAAGTAAATCATAGTCGTGATGGCAGAGATGGAATGTTTTCATCCATGTAGTGTGTTTTTATATATATGTATATATATACTCTTTTTTTTTAACAGGTGGTAACAAACAGGGATACACAAGAAACTCTCCTCTGCATGGCCTGTGTATTTGAAGTTTCAAATAGTGAACATGGAGCACAACATCATATTTACAGGCTTGTAAAAGACTGAACATGGTTATTTATATATATAGATACCTGTATATATACACACACACATATGTGCGCACACACACACACTCTCTCCATTATTGAATGACTGACTGTAAACCTCACCGTGCAGGGGTTGTGCCCTGGCCCTGAGGTCACCCTACTTTTCTAAATTCTGTTTGAGTGAAGTCATTTTTTCATGTATTCATACTATCATTGTAGCTGTGAAGTTCTGGTACAGTTGTAAAAAGAGAAATCAAGTTGTTTCTATGTGTTCTTCAGATCTGCAGCCCACAATTTCTCGGGAAAGGTGAACCTTAAGAACCCAAGTCTCTGTCTGCAGAGACCTGTTTCTAATTGTGGAAGAAAATATTCAGACAGAGCATTTGCCATGAGACATTTACAGCCTTTATACAAATGTATTTAGTTCTTTTTTTTTCCAACATAAAATTCTTGTTTTAAGATACAAGTAAAATTAATCTTTAAATATAAATGTAAATTAGTACATGAAACTAAGAATCTTTAGACTTATCTTTGTAACTAATTAGGGTGGAAGTTATGAAAGAATGTAATTCACTAAATTATTTTTTAAATGAAACTTTTCTTTCTTTTTGAAACCAAATGTTAAAATATAGCCTTAAGAAATGCTTGGTAGAAATATCCTAATGAAACAAATTTGTACTTTTTTCACAAAGTTAAAACTAATCTCCTAATCCATTAAACTCTTAAACAGGTATTACAAAGGAAGAAAACTTCACCCCTTATCCTTAACATATATAGTATATTTAAAATATAAAATTGTATTGTACTAATGTGATGATTGATTATTTAATGAAAAAGAAAAGATGGCTCTTTTTGCAATAAGTAGATAAATACTGAAAATCTAAACTTACAACGTTTATAGTCTTGTGTGTGCAGTTATATTTTATATGGACAACCAAATTTTTTATTAAGATGAGTAAATATTTGAACCACTGAAATTTAATAACAAAAATTAAAATTGGCATGAATACTGCACTGTAAGCTGCAAAGTATAGGAAATTCCATGGCTGGGAGAAAATTTCATCAACCAAACAAGTAAAAGGCTCATCAGTTTTAGCATCTCTGCTCTCCAGAAATTCACAAGCATCCTCACCAGCCTGTGGATAAATTGTTTATTTCTGGTGATCCAATATGCATATTAACTTGCTATGACTATATGTGTATGTATGTGTTTATATATACATATATACACATATACATAGATAGTTATTCAACACATATTTATTGAACATCTATTTAGTGTCACTCATTTTGCTAGGTGCTGATATGTGTATATATATCTCAGTCTGTTTCCGTAGATCTAGATATATTCTCTAAGGACATCCATTTTCTTGTCATCTCTCAATAAGTCACAGTACTTGTTTGACTGAGGTTCAAGAGGCCCAGCTATCTATCTCTGACCTTTTCAAACAGGCTCATTTGAGAGGTTCTTTTCCCAGGAGAGATTCAGCGATCCAACCCAAATATTCCAAAGCACAGCCCAGGCAGAGTTGATTCTATGTAGCCACATGTCTTGGGTGCTTCCCTGGGGAATACCTCCAATGGGCATGCCCCCGACTTCCCAGAGAAAAGTGATGTTTTAATAGTTGTTAGGAATATGTTAATACGATAGAACATGAAATAAGTTTTAGAAGATGTGAAACATCTCAAGACTTTTCATCAAGCCAGAAAAATATAAACTTTGTTTTATCGCATCCAAGAAACTTGGACACTCTCTTTTCTGTCTCACTGCTCTGACCCTGCTTGTATATTGGTTAGTATCTGGTGGTTATGAGCGTGAGGGTGTGGCTGGCTAATGGCAAACAGAAGGACACTGGACCAAGCCTGACTTCTCCTGAATTCATGCCACTGGTCACTGGGAAGATGAGAGGAGAAAGTGAAAAATTTTCTCCATTTGGAATGTGCATCCCTTACATAAACTAGTAGGATGGTGCCCATCTTTCCTCCATCAGAAACAGAAACTCTCATCTGTTTTCTGATTCCAAGAGGACCCTTGAAAAATTGCCCCAGTTGTCTGCTCTTCCATCTGCTCTTTAGCCCAAGCATTTAAGCTTCTTCCATGGTCATCATATATATGACTTCTTTTGGTCACTCCTTTTAATAATGATGTTTCTCTTGCTCCTTTCCTCAAGGGAATCCCCGCTTTTCCAGAACCAGGATCTGACGTGGCTCAGAACTTCAAGGAGGGAGGTATCTGGTTCACATTCCCACCCAGGAGTGGGCTCTTCTGTGCTGCCAGGAGGGCTCCTGGGATTTACTTTCCAAAGCACAAGTAGACTGAGACCCAAGAAGACCAGCTAGAGGGTAGTTCTGTTGGCTGCAGAGAAGGGCATACTCTGGTCTGCCGACTCAGAGCCAGACTGGGACCTCTGATGCTTCTCTGCCAGTGTCCTCCAAATGCCTTTGTAGTTGAGTTTGGCGGTATACATGAACCACCTTGAGGATTACTTTTTGCTCTTAAAACACTTCTAAGATCTGTTAAAGTTACTTCTTGTCTTGCTTTTCTAAAGTTTTCTCCAAGGCAGATATTTTCCATAGCTTATCCACAGGCCCAGTCACTCAGACGCTTGGTCCTCTCTCCGTCTCTCCCAAATTAGACCCTGGGTTGGCATTTGTGTTTAGCGTCTAATCCGAGTCAGCCTTCGGTCATTCATCCTTTATGGCAGAGTCTTTTCCCTTTGTCTGTAAAGCTTTCTAAACCATAAGAAGCCTTTCCAAAGCTCTGTCCTCCCGTTCTCTCCCAGGTGCTCTGTCTCTTGGTGACCGCCCACCACCTACCAGATTTGATTCAGGGACATCTCATGCTTTCACTGGAGAATTTGAAAGCCAGTTTTCCACAGCCTAAATGTCATAGCTGAAGAACTGGACTTTGGTCTGTTGGCATTCTTTTCCATCTTAGCAAGAGACCTGAAGTGGAATCAGGACTTCTTCAAGAACATGTCCTAAAATTCCAGAATGTTCAGGCTACCCTAGACCAGTGTCAGCTTCAGTACTGTTGACATTTTGTACCAGATAATTCATTGCTGTGTGGGGCTGTCCTGTGCATTGTAGGAGCTTTAGCAGCATCCCTGACCTCTGTTCACCAGGTGCTGGCAGCAGACCTTCCCCCAGTCGTCACAACCCAGAATGTCTTCAGACTTTGCCAAATGGTCCTGGGCACAAAATTGTTCCTAGTTGAGAACCACCGCCCTAGATCTTACAGGTCACAAATGCCATATTCGATATTTTCTTTTTCCTTCCAGTTCACCCCAAGATAACATCTCTCCTTATTTCAGGTCATCAAGAGGCAGGCAGGGATTTAAGCAAGTGACACTGTCAACGTTCTCTTCCTGTTTCAGAACCTCTGTTTCACAACAGAGTCCCTCTTGCCACAAGTATTCTCACACTCATCCCTGGGGAAGTGGAGAACAGCTGGTCACCATCATCCTTATGATCAGCTCACACCTATTTAAAGAGCATTTCTAATTCGATCTTCAACCCTGAGTTTACCAGTTTAAAAAAAAAAAATCCCAGCGATTTTCATTATTTCCCATAAACTCATGAGCCTCATTATCAAGCCTTTAATCATTTCAGTCAATATTTTCTGGTATTCTTCTACTTTCTGCCTTACACTCAGTGCTGTTTGTGATTTATGGAAGCCTCAGGAACATGTCTTTTCATCTTCAAGGATGGAGGAGGGAAGGATTAGTTCCAAAGAGGGCTGATAGAATGTTTTCTTTATTGAGCTAAGAGGGCATAATCTACTCTCCTTCAGTTTGTAGATGAGAAAGTTGAGGCTCAGAGAAGACGTGACTTGCACAAAGTCACCCAGCTTGGTTAGAGACGGAAATAAGGGTGAGGCTTTAGGATGCCTGCCACTTAACCTTTGGCCTCTTCCGGTGAAGTTGTTCCTCTTTGGTGCTCACGCTTCGATTATCCCTACACAATCAATGGACAGGTTCAGTTCAGAAGAGCGAGGGAGATGAAGAACCCGCCCTCCCCCACCAGAGCGACAGCATCACCCCCATGCTGATGCTGCTGCTTCTCATACTGGAGGTCTTGTCTGGCTGGAGCTATCCGAGCATCTGCAAGCAGAAAGGAAAGCTGATGAGCCTTTTCAATTACTCTGAGGACAGTTCACCTGCCACAGGCTTTGAGTCAAATGTCTGTTTTCTAAGCATCCCAGCAGCGACGTCCTGCACTCAGACCAGCCAAAAAACAGGCCCCCGTTCCAAGCACTTGGTGTTACCATTCCCCGAATGACTTTAAAACCCAAGTCGTTAGGTTTCAGTACTGTAGTGGCTTTAGCAGTTTGTTTTTGTGCAACCGTAAATTATTTAAGTCATATGATATGACAGTCAATTTTACAAACCAGGTACATATAATTTGTATAATTTTGTATATGCTCTGGTACACTACACTTGTCCTAATGAAGGATAGAACCAGTTTTGTTTGTCGGTGTTCACACCTGTGACATTAAGAGGATATGTCTGCATTGCTCATTTCTTTATGTTGATGTTTCTGTGGCAAAGCCCTGCACATGTCATTTCTGAAAAGCCTTAAATCTTTGAGATGTTGCGTGTAGGGTATGCAGTGCAAAAGGCTGCCTCGGAACTGTGAGCCCTTTTGTAAGCTGGAAGCATTTCTCTTAACTACTGTTACTTTTTTAGGAAGTTTTAAATTCAGAGCTGCCAAAGCGTTCCAGTAAGCAGTGCCTTAGTGATACCTTAGTCGTGCCGCCAGCCTTTTCTCACTCCAGTTCTCAATGTCCATTTACTAATTGGCCCGACATTTTAAAAAGAACAAGCAAAACATTTTATTTTGTTTCGTAAGCCCATTTTTCTCCAGTTCACTAGGAAACTGACTGGTCGGTCTAAAATCTGAAACCGAACCTAAGTTCTTTGACCACACCCTCAAATGTATATACCAAAATGAAAGGTTTTGCAACTTCATAGTTTACTATGAAAAGCAAATTGTACTTTTAATGTTGCCTTTTAAATTCACGACCAAATACTTAGCTATTTGTGAATCTTCTGCACTCTAGCATGAAAGTGCCTTTGGTTTGAGATTCCGGCTTAGAAAAGTGCTGCCACGATAATGATAATTTGTAGAGAGACCAAAAATATTTTGAGATCACCGTAATGCCTTTGGTTTACCGGGATGAGCAACCGACCACAGGCCTCTGTTCGCAAGAGCACGGCGTTGGACCCCGCCCGCTGGGAGTCTGTCTGCCATGGGAGGGTCCCCCACCGCCACTCATCAGGAGCAAACTGCAGCAGGAGGGAGCCAGGAACTGTTCTATCAGTGTGTGCCGATGACCCAGTGTGTCATCTCCGCTCGTCACCTAGCCCTGCATCCGCATGAGGGAACTTCCACACAAACAACAGACTCCCAGCCGGTGGACAGGTTTGTCCTTCTGATGTCCGTGTTCAGTCTCCGCGGAGGCTTTCTTTTCCATTCAGATGACAGTGCGCACTTATCTGGTTTACACAATGATACCATTTTGAAAGTTGGAAGCCTCAAACTGAGATGACAGTGCAGAACAAAAATGAGTTAGGGTCATGACAATTGCAGTGTTCTTCTTAGGGCGAAAATGTGGACTCTGAGTGTTGTGTATGAATGTGCTGTGGGAAACTTCCAAAGAGCGCCATTCACAATTCGGCATTTTCAAAGAATGTTCCAGCCCTCAAAAGGGCCGTTCTTTAAAGTTCGAGTTGGCTTTCATCAAACCCTTGTATAAATTGGGAAAGCCGATAGAGGTAAGGAAGAGGAGTGAAAAGGACAAGAATGCAAAAACACCAGCCAAACAAAAGCCAAGGAAAAAGATTTTTTTTTGTTTGTTTGTTTTTTTAACCAATATAGACTTAAAAATGACTTCAAACATCTTCGAAAGTTAGCCTCTGGACTCTTAATGCATATGTTCCGTCTGTCTCTACCTAGTGTCTTTACGAATACCCTCTCTGGGCTCTAAAATTTCAGGAGTGATTTCTATCCACACCAAGTTGTGAGTATTTGTAGAATTTCTACAAGAGAAAAAAAAAAATCAGATGAAAAGGAAAATTACTCAATATGAGTTATAGTGAACTGCTCAAATTCGGCCCCTCCCTGTCAGTATACTGTACCACACACTTGGAAGAAATTAGTCAAATACTTGTTTCCTCTTCTCTTTTCAACTGTTACTGTGCTTTGTTTGGCAATAGTTTTCCTCTCAGAAACTCATTGCTTATATCATTAAGAATGAAGGGTATGTGTTTAAAATTTTTTGCATTGCAAAGGATAGTTTCACCGAAGTCATGCACCGTAAATAAGATGAAATATTGTATTTATTGTCCTACTTCTAAGCCGTAACTTGTTTTCTTCTCTGTGAATTTGCATTGAGTCAGTCATATGCCACACTACATCATTTTGTTATTTGAAACGGCACTTATGTTTCCCACTCATTCATCCAATGGGGTCAGATTCTAGTAGAGTCCACCTCTCAGGATGATTCTCTTATGTCTGGCTTCCATTATGAGATTGTTTCTTCTTCCCCTTTCTCTAAGAGAGGCTGACGGAATCTAGGCGTAAGTCAATTGGAAACCAGTCTCTGATTTTTTTCACATCAGTCATTTTCTGTGATTAGTTTCACTGTGTAAATTAGATATTAACTGCACTTCTTGAAAAAAAAAAAAAATCTCCCTGTTACCTCCTTGAAAGATTCACTTCTGTAGGCCTTTTTCAATAGGCTCATGACTGCAGATAAAGAAAAAGTAAAAACTAAAACAGTATGTGCCTGAAAAACGACTAAAAAAATTTTGTAACACTTAAAAAAGAAACCTGAATAGCCTTTAATTCTTTAATATGCTTAAATTTTATGTAAATCAGTTTTTGCCACGTGTGTTTGTTCACATTCTAAATGACTTAATGGGATTCTCACGGTCTGTGTCTTCATGTCACATGTATAAATTGGGCTTGTGATGTAAGCGTTTCATCTGGTCAGTGGTTCCTTTGATATTGTACTGCTGCTGGGAGTGGGCTACAGAAACTGCCTTTGGGTAATAAGGTTTCTCTTGGGTAGATTGGAGAGATGGGGGGTGGGGGTCAAATTCTCACACGTTTTCTTAACCTATTTGCAGAAACTTTTAAAAGGCATTTGGTTAAACCTCTTGGCAGTACAGTATTCTCGTATTTGTTAACGTCTGTGTTTAGGTACTGGTACCTTTTTGTTTAAAAATGTTCTAAGTGTTGGCTTTAAAGTGAATTTATCTTTAGTATGATAGTTATATGAAAATTATAGGGTTTGTGTGCAGAGAATTTTTTTATAAAGTGCTTTGTAAAAAAAAAAAAATGTATTCTAGCTTTCGCGGTACATATGTGTGATAACTTTAATATCCATGACAGTTAAGTGCAATTATTTCATCACTCTAAAAATGCTATTTTTGTGTCAGTTCCTGCAGGTGTTTTCATGTCTTTGCAAAGTGACACATTTTGATGCCTTCTTGATAAAGTGGTAGACATTTTGTAGCTTTCTAGAAACTTTGTATTCATACGGTATCAATGAAAAATAAAGAAAATGAAAGTGTGGGTCACCTTTTTTATCTGCAAAAGTGTATGTTGTTGAAAATGAAATGCATTTTCTGTGTTGTGGGCGATTTTCCGAGGACAAAGTAAAGGAGATTGAAGCCATGATCCTTTGGACAGTGTCCACCAAGCTCAGTAATTGGAACGTTAGTTGTTATGTCGAGCCAGGTTTCTTAAAAACATCCACAAGTCTGTCAGCCTATCTGCCTGGTGTCTCTCTTTAGTGCTTCATTAAAATTGACGTTAAGTTTTGCAGAACAGCTTTCTGTGGATCTCAGGCAATCCTGAGAAATCAGGTCCCATGGTCCATGGTACCCAAGTAGGGCCTCGGAGAACCAAAGAGCACACCAGCCCAGCCACTGAGCATTTGTGATTGTTGTTACCAACTTGCTGGGTACGTGCCAGGAACCAGGGGTAGAGCACACAGTGCAGCATGGTTCTTACCTGCACGATGCTTCCACACTTAGTAGTCGGGTTGCATGTTAAGCTGTAACCCCTCGCCCCTGCCCTCAGCATCACTGTGGGATTTGTGATTCAGGTGTGCAGCACACATGCATAACGAAGCCTTGGATTCGCTAAGTTTTTCCTACATGCTGGACACTGGGCCAATTATGTTGGTCTGAGGTATACATTGTTTCCTTTGATTCTCATAAAAGTCACAATGACAGTGACATTACTATGCCACAAATGAGGCTCCGAAGGGATAGGTCATCCAAGAACATGACTGGTGAGCGGTGAACCCTTAAATGGGTCACCCTGGCTCTTAAGACTGGGCTTTTGGTCCCTGCATTTTGGTTCACTGAGAATTCGTGGAAGCAGTTCAAGGCCGGAGGAGAAATCTAGATTGAAGATGGGGAGAACTTTCTTAAACAACGATGACCTTGGGCTTCTGACAATAGGACTGAGTGTACCCTGGGATCCTTCGGTTTGAACTAGACCTCAGATGATCTTGCTTATCCCCTTTTCTTTAAAATCTGAAGTAAAGCCTGCCTCAAATCCCAGGAGGCATTGAAGAGAGAAGAAATAACATTTCAGCCCCTTTGAAGAGACATTTTTCCACTTGCTACAATTTGAGAGGCATGCTCTTGTCCAGTGAGCTGCTCAGGGCAGAGGGACGGGAACTGCGGAACATTTTGTTAAAGCCTTATTATATGCCAGGCACCTATACCAGGCTATCTTCTATAACCTGCATACTCTTAAATAAAGGAATCATTTCCAATAAGGAAATTGAGACTCACTGAAGTTAAGCCCTTGTTAGGGTCATAAAAGCCAGTGACAACTTAGAGATGGAGAAGCTCCCCTCCCTTGTAGTTGTGGCCCTACTACTGGCTGTATGGCACCTTTTGCCCTCTACCTTCTAAAGCAAGGTGCTTTAATACATCAGAAAGAACTTTTGTTAGTGCCCGCATCTCCAGTCAACTTGAATTCAGCAGAGAGTGACACACTAGGTAAACTACATCACTGAGTGAAGAGATTGAAGGAGCGAAGGGAAGGGTAACGTTTATTAATAAGATCAGGGCATAAGCAACTTTGTTGGGAGCCCCTGATCATCTCTTCCTGCCTCACAGCTACAGGGCACTAATAAGCATAACTACTACTTATGGAAAGCCAAATTAGCTGTTAAGTAAGCAGTGAACAACTGATATAATTCCAATTAAAAAAAAAAAGTGTTGTATAAGCCTGTGACGCCTTAGAGTTTTTTTAACTGTCTTTGGAGACACCTTTGTTCTGTTTAATGCCCCACATGTCAAATTTATCTAAGTTGTAACTAGCAAATAGGCTGCCAACAACCTGACTGTATTTTCTTCAGTAAACATTCTCTCATTTGCTTTGGCTCCCATGAAGCTCAGGCTTAAAAGTTGCGCTCTGTGCTAATGATAAGGAACAAACTAAAATACAAAGGCACAGAAAGACTGAAAATAAAGGATAAAAAGTATATCAGCAAAACAGTAGAAAGCCAATGTAGCTAAATTATTCTCCTATAGCTCAAGGAAAAAAATTAAGTCTACAATCATGAGGATTTAACTTTAAAATGATACAAGTTTCAATTATCCAAGAAGAATAAAGACTAAAGTATATGCACCTGACAACATAGTTTCCAATTTATAAAGCAAAATTTGACATTCATGACCACACTGGGATGTTTTTAAATAACTCAGTTATTTAAGATAAAGCAGACCAAAAAAATGTAGAACATAGAGGATTTGAAAAATGTGCTATTCTAATTTATAAGACACAAGGTATTGAACTCAACAACTAGAAACAGTACATTGTTTTCAAGCTCATAGAAGTTTTATAAAAATTGTTCAAGGCCAAAGGTCTAGGAACTGGCCTATGGGCCAAATCTAGCCTGTTGTTTGTTTTTGTAAATAAAGTTTTATTAGAACATAGCCACTATTTGTTTACTTATTACCATGGCTGTTTTCATGCTACAATGACAGAGTTGATTAGTTGTAACAAACCCTATAGCCTACAAAGCCTAAAATAATTACTACCTAGCCCTTTACAGAGAAAAAAATTGCTAATCCCCATCCTAAGCCAAAAAGTGAGGTCCTGCATCCAATAATCTTAAAAAGATGTTTCCCTTTCCCTAGTGTATATACAGATCCCTTTGATAGTCTGTGGCATTGTAGTATCCGTCCCAAAGTGTTCCAGCCTCCCCTTTGATCAATGGGCTTAGTTCTGGGAAATTGAGTAAAAGATAGTGATTTTTCATTGCGGCAGTTGACATCTTTTCACCCAGTCATGATATTTTATGATTAAAACAGTCAAACATTTTTGATGGGTACCCATCTGTTTTGGCCATATATTACCATGTTCTTCTAGCCATCTTCACAGATCCTGTGGTGCCAGGCTCCTTGGTTGCCCTTCCTTGCTATCTAGCATGGTAATTACTACTTTGCTTCTGACAGCTAATTGCTGCCACCTTGTCTTTGCTGCTCCAGATGATCCTGTCATCTCCATTCACACAAGGGAACCCAATTCCATGTCAATATCCCCTGTCACCCCCCCTTGGCCTGCAGGCCAGCACTGAGTTTCTTAGCAATGCTGGTGCTCCATTCACTAGTGCATACATAGTTGTTTTAGTGAAGAAAGTGTCTTATTGTCCTCCCAGGGCACAAAGGTGGTGTGTCTTGAATTATAAATCCATCCCCATAGCATTGCCTTTGAACTTTCTGAACTCTGCCAAGGTAATTCCAGCACCTCCACTTCATTTACTCTACCCCATCATTTCCTCCAAGCTTATAGGAGCAGTCTAGCAGCGCATCATCTGGCTGACATAGGATAATCCCTAGTGTCTTTGCCTGGATATTAAATCCTGAATTATAGAGGTGTGTGTTACATGCCGCTGAGTCAGTTCCAACTCCTGGGGACACAATGAGTGATGTCCACGATGTCCTGTCTTCAGCAGCCCTACTCAGCTCCTGTAGAATTGCATCTATGGCTTCTTTTATGGAGTCAATCCCTCTCAGATTTGGTTTTCCTCTTTTCTTGCTGCCTTCTATTCTTCCCAGCATCATTGTCTTTGTTTCAAAAAACCTTGGCTTCTCATGATGTGCCCAAAATTTTCCCACCCAAAAAAGAAACCTGCATGGCCAATAAACATGAAAAAATTTTCAACTCTGTTAGTAATCGGAAATGCAAGTTCAAATGAAATTAGTCCAGCAGATTTAAAATGTTTAAATCTGATCATACCAAGTATGGGTAAAGAGATAGAGCAATGGGGTTTTCATACATGCTTGTAGATATGTAAATTTGTACAACCACTTTAGAAAACAATCTAGCATTACTTAAGAAAGTGAACATATTCTATAACCCAACAAAATTCATACCTCAGTTTATAAGAAATACTTGCAAAAGTGCTCCACAGATTTGTACAAAAATGGCATAGCCCCATTGGTCCAATCAAAAGAAAAAAACTTTGCAAATGTCCAACAACAAGAATTAAAAAATAAATTGACTCATTTATATAATCGACCATGATATGAGTACGAAGGACACTTGAAATATGTTCCAATATCTTGCAGCCATGAGGAAGAGCTCATTGGCCGTGATTTTTTTTCATTTTTCTCCAATTAAGGTATAAAATGAGTAAAGTCCTCTCAAGTGTAGAATTTGTTGAGTTTGGGCAATTGTATAGAGCTGTATAACTACCACCTCGATCAAGAATTGTCACCTATTCATTACCACAAAAGTTTCTTATACCCCTTTGCAATCAGTCCCCTCCTCTCAGCCTCAGGCAAGCACAGATCTGCATTCTGTGACACGGCCTTGTCTAGAATTTTGCGTAAATAGAAACACACAGCATGTAGTTCTTTGTGTTTGATTCTTTTCACTTAGCCTAATGTCTTGTCATTTGAGAATGGGTCTCTTTTTTTTTTTTTTTTTTTGGTTCTTCATATGTTGGGTAACTGGATTGTATGTATTATTAATATTAATTGACATTTTTCTCCGTTATTTTACTTCATTTTAGCAGGTGTTTTTCTTGATTGAACTCTTAACTACAAACTTTCTTGGATGGCAGCTCCTGTCTCTTTCAGATCCTTTAGCCTTTAGCTGAGATGCTGTGCCTCTGCTCTGTGCGCTCATGGTCCAGCGGTCAGCCAGAGGTATGAACGGAAAGAATTTGGGGATCCCCTTTCTTGTTCTTTCCCTTCCAGGACTCCCTCTCCTCCCTTTGGCAGCTGTAGTTCTATCTTCCTGGGCCCAAAAGATGCCTGTTTTTCCACCAGCATCAGCCCCGGCCTGCATAACACGGCCTGCACCTCGCCCCTGGCTAAAAACAGCAGAAATGGGGAGCTCATTTTCTATAACTTCTTTTACTTCCCACCAAAATCTACCTCCTTCTGCTCGCTCTCCAGTGCTTTCAGTGCCTCCATTTTGTTATGTCCATACAGTAAAATCTTATTCAGTCATTACTGTAAACAGAAATCTGACTGATGTTTAAGGGCAAATATTAAGATGCTCATTTTTGGAGGGGAGGGGCAGGTGTTGAGCTCTTCTGTGGGCTTCT